CGGGAGCTCGAGCGCCTGGGCCGCCAGGCCTGGCTGGAGGGCCGCCAAGGCCGGAGCATGGACTTCATTGACCTCCTTCTGCTCGCCAAGGTCACACCAGGATGGGGATGGGCACAGGGTTGGCCGTAGGGAGATAGTGGTGGCCAAGGGAGGATTGGTCATGAGGAAGGTTGGCCATAGGGTGGTGGCCACGGTGGAGAGGAATGGTTATGGGATGGGGTGGGCCATATGGGAGATGGTGGTGGCCAGGGGAGATGATGGTGGCCATGCAAAAGGTGGCCATGGGGAGAGGTTGGCCATGCAGAAGGTGGCCATGGGGAAGTTTGGCCATAGGGTGGTCACCATGGGAGATGGTGGTGGCCAAGGGAGATGATGGTGGCCATACAGAAGGTGGCCATGGGAAAGGCTGACCATAGGATGTTGGGCATGGGAGATGGTGGTGGCCAAGGAAGGGTTTGTCATGAGGAAGGTTGACTGTAGGGTGATGGCCATGATGGAAAGCAATGGCCATGGGATGGGGTGGGCCATAGGGTGGCGGCTATGGGAGATGGTGGTGGAAGGTTGACCATAGGGTGGTGGCCATAGGAAATAGTGGTGGCCAAGAGAGGGTTTGTCATGGGGAAGATTTGCCATAGGGTGGTGGCTATGGGAGGTGGTGGTGGCCAAAGGAGATGATGACAGCCATGGAGAAGTTGGTCGTGGGACGGTTGGCCATAGGGTGATGGCCATGGTGGAAAGGAATGGCCATGGGATGGGGTGGGCCATAGAGTGGTGGCCATAGGCAATGGTGGTGGCCATGGAGAAGTTGGCCATAGGGTGGTGGCCACCTGCAGCCCCTCTACCACCATGCTCCCCTCGCAGGACGAGGACGGCAGTGACCTGTCGGATGAGGACATCTCAGCTGAGGCCGACACGTTCATGTTCGAGGGTGAGGAGGGTCCCCAAGTGTCACAGCGAGGTGGGTGGTGGCTGCTCGGAGCCAGGGATGTCCCCACACTCACCCCTTGTCCCTGCAGGCCACGACACCACGGCCAGCGGCTTGTCGTGGCTGCTCTACAACCTGGCCTGCCACCCGGACCACCAGGAGCGGTGCCGCCAAGAGGTCCGGGAGCTCCTCAAGGACCGCGAGGTGGAAGAGATCGAATGGTGAGAGATCCCCCTCCTTCCACTCCCGAATTTGAGGACACCGGGGCCACTGTCCCCTCACGCCGTGGTCCCCCGCAGGGAGGACCTGTCCCACCTGCCCTTCACCACCATGTGCATCAAGGAGAGCCTCCGGCTGCACCCGCCGGTCACCGCCGTGTCGCGGTGCTGCACCAAGGACCTGGCGATGCCCCACGGCCACGTGCTCCCCAGCGGTACGGCTCGACCTCGCAGCTCCTGCTGGCCTCGTCCCTCCTGTCCCCTGTCCCCAATATCTCCATTTACATCCCACCAGGGACCACCTGCCTACTGAGCATCTACGGGACCCACCACAACCCAAGTGTCTGGCCCGAGCCCCAGGTAGAGCTGCAGTGGCCTGACCATGGTGGCATGGGGACAATCCTGAGGTCCTTGGACTCCCCAAGGCGGCGGCAGCCCTGTCACCATGGCCTGGGACCAAGTGTCAATGAAGTGGTGCAGACACGTCCCCATGCCATGTGGCTCTGTGCTGGCATGGGCACATCCTTCTGGGCCACATGTCACTGTCCTGGTGTGGGCATGTCCTTGTTTGGAGGTCCTGGCACAGGCTTGTCCCATGTGCCACGTGTCACCTCTCGGCATGGACACGTCCCCATGCATCCCACACTGGTGTGACACTGTCCCTGTTGCCCCAGGTCTTCAACCCGCTGCGCTTCAGCCCGGAGAACACGCAGGGACGGTCCCCGCTGGCCTTTGTCCCCTTCTCCGCCGGCCCCAGGTGAGCCCCACAGTGGGGACACACGTGTCCCCATGTCCCCTCTCCAGCATATGTGTGACGAGAGGAGGGGTTAGTCATTCTTGCATTGAGTTAGGGCATCACGAAGGCCATGCTGTCCCCATCCCCATGTCACCCACATCTCCGCGTCACCCCGCACTGTCCCATGTCCCCCCAATACCTTTGGGTGGCCCCAGGCCACCAAGGCCACCTACAACGGGGGGGTGTCCAAGCTCAGAGGGGACTCAGACACCTCCGGGTGGTGACACGGAGGTGACACCGGTGCAGGAACTGCATCGGGCGCAGCTTCGCCATGGCCGAGATGAAGGTGGTGGCGGCGCTGACGCTGCGGCGCTTCGTCCTGCGCCCCGTCCAGGGCCACCACCCGGCGCGGCGCAAGCCCGAGCTGGTCCTGCGTCCCGATGGTGACCTCCGGCTGCGGCTGGAGCCGCTGACCGAGGCGCCCTGGCCACGGCGCGGGGACCGCGGTGTCCCCACCGTGGCAGGGAGGGGACAATAAAGAAGTCACGTGGCGTGGTGATATCTGTGGTGGTGGCGTGGGATGAGATGGGTGGGATGGATGTCACCATTAAGGCCTCGTGGTGACATCCTGGTGTGGCCCCCTTGGGACACACAGTGACATCTGCATGTAGATGTGTGGCCATGGCTACCTGGGGACATCCTGATATGGACATGTCCCCTTGGGACACACGGTGACATCTGGGTATGAATGTGTGGCCGTGGCCACTTGGGGACATCCTGGGATGGACATGTCCCCTTGGGACACACGGTGACACCTGAGTGTGGACATGTCCCCATGGCCACCTGGGGACATCCTGGTGTGGACATGTCCCCTTGGGACACACGGTGACATCTGGGTATGAACGTGTGGCCATGGCCACCTGGGGACATCCTAGGATGGACGTGGCCCCTTGGGACACACTGTGACACCTGAGTGTGGATGTGTCCCTATGGCCACCTGGGGACGTCCTGGTGTGGACATGTCCCCTTGGGACACACGGTGACCTCTGGGTATGAACGTGTGGCCGTGGCCACCTGGGGACATCCTGGGATGGACGTGTCCCCTTGGGACACACTGTGACACCTGAGTGTGGATGTGTCCCTATGGCCACCTGGGGACGTCCTGGTGTGGACATGTCCCCTTGGGACACACGGTGACCTCTGGGTATGAACGTGTGGCCGTGGCCACTTGGGGACATCCTGGGATGGACATGTCCCCTTGGGACACACGGTGACACCTGAGTGTGGACGTGTCCCTGTGGCCACCTGGGGACGTCCTGGTGTGGACACAGGTGACATCCCAACACCATGATGCCCATGGAAGGGGTGGGGGACAGGGG